GTTTTGAATGGAAGAATGTTAATTGGGCCAGTTACAAAGCATTTATGTCTCAACACATTTCAGCAATCTGAGTAAAAGGCTTAATATCTCCTGAGGAGTTCGCTCTGTAATGCGGTACTGTGACCTTTTGACCAGGACATGGACACATAGTTTTACAGTGACACAGTTGGGAGTCATATGCTGCTGCTCTGCCTTATAAATATACTGTTGCATCACCATGGGTGAGGTGTACAGCAGGTCGCAGGACAGATGCGCACACTTGCGGTGTCACATTGCAGATGTCTACCCCATCACATCACTGACATGGGAGGTGACTTTCTGTTTTGATGTACCCTCTGCTCATAGGACTGACCTGCATGCATGTTTTTCTTGTAACCTGAAGGATGGAGAACCTGTGATGTACTTGAGTGAAACAACAGGGTTGGCTGAGGTGCTGGAACAATTTATCTAGCGTGTAGTTGGCTTTCTGGCCACGTTGGAAAGCCGTGAGAAAAAGAAGGGCGGGAAGGAACTTGTGGACCAAATAAATTGGTCTTATGATTTACCAATGTGACAAAAAGATAGATAGGAACAAAAGTAGTTCTGCCCGTGTGAAAGGGGTAGAAGGAACCTGTTGGGAATTACAAGGGTTGTTCTCTAACTTATAGTCGCCTACCACCAGTTTTCTGCCAGACCACCTAAAGTGTGCAGTTTGCATCTTTAAAGCTGAGGACACTTCTTCCTCTCCTTTCCCACTAGCTGTTAAAATCAGAATTTGGCTGTTTGACTAGACTCTTCATAATAATCACAAATCTCTTGGAGCAGTTACGTAGCAGTTTTGTTTGTGAAGGTGATGTGAGAGTGACGTATGATGATGCACTTCAGTGACAAGGGGCACTGATTCAAGTGGAGCAGCAGTCTTCAAGAGCTTGAGTTCTATTCTGTGATGTGTTCCCCAGGCAGAGGAGTAAAGAGCTTGTTGCATGACTGCCTGAATGCTGCATACTGCCTGCTTTCTTAAAATGGAGTAGTGTGCAATATAGCTATCCTTGAGATTTCTTTAGGTGCAACATTAACAAAGAGCATTAAGACTGAATCGAAAAACCGATCTGGATCAAATAAGTGGTCAAACCATTAGAAGTGGCCCTTGGGCTGAGAGTGGGCGATGTTTTGTTTTTAATTAAGAATTTTTGACATGCTCTAGCCTTGACTGTGCTGGTTTGCCAGATCTGTCCCTTATCCAGCAAGAAGTGGATGCCCTAGAAGAGCTGAGTCGACAGCTTTTTCTGGAAACTGCTGACTTGCATGCAACAAAGGTAGATAGCAAAGTCCCTGCCCAGATGGGTGTTGGATGCCAGACTACTTTGGAAGAGAATGTATGTTATAATAAATTGAAAACTATCAGCAGTTAAATGTTGAAATGCTGTGATGCGGAGGAGTGAGGATCTGTTTCTTTTATTTGAGGTCTAGATGGCGGCTTTCTTCTGGTTCAGACACATATTGGAGTATGCCCCATGTCCCTAAAGCCATTCAGAAACTTTGGAATTAAAACTTTTGAGCTCAGAAACATTTGAATCAAGAGTTGTAGAAGGGTAAAGCTGTGTTTGCTACTATCGTTGCTCCATTAAAATATTGTCTTGTGAGTGATTGTGGAAACGATATATTTATTTTTTTGTGTGTTCTGTTCCCTCTCCCTCCTTTTGTATTTCCAGGAGAGAATAGAGTACTCCAAAACTTTCCAGGGAAAATACTTTAATTTTTTGGGTTATTTTTTCTCCATCTATTGTGTCTGGAAAATCTTCATGGTATGTAATGTTTTAATGCATTTTATGTGGACATATGCAAATGTCACACCCTGCATAGATTTTGCTGTACATGCAGTTCATCAGTTTAATGCTCCAGTTTCCTTAAAATCCTGCTTCTGGAAATTCTGAAAGAAACTGACCCGTAGTTGAAATAAAGCTCTGGATGATCTGTCTTTTTGTATAGAGCATTAGAGAAGCAATTCTTGCATGTGTGCATTTTTTACTTTTTTTAGACAATCTGACAACCCCATGTCCCTTTCTTTGGTGACACAAAGCAAGAGTCATGCCTGTGTCTCATGTGTAACAGCGAGGTATGCTTTTGTTTTCTTCTTTGAACATAAATCCATCTCTCTCTTGCAGGCAACCATCAATATTGTATTTGACCGTGTGGGGAAGACTGATCCAGTCACAAGAGGAATTGAGATCACAGTAAATTATCTGGGAATCCAGTTTGATGTAAGACTTTATTACAGCCTTTTCAGCAATTCCTCTCTTATCTAAATAAAATCATACTGCTGATAGGGAGAGAGCGATAGAGCCCTGAGAACGAGTCTTTGACTTCTGACTTATTGAGGAGGAAGGAAAATGCACCATGAACTTTGCTTTCACACTGATTTTATGCTGGGATGGTAATGTGGTCTTGCCAGAGGCAGTGATTTGCTTGTTTGTTTTGGGCAAATGGAAACATGTTAGTCAACTTGCTTAGATTAATACGTTTAACTGCAGAGTAACTATGTTTGCTCATGTGCTTAAGTGTTCCGTCGTTTACACTCTTTAAATATATCCCTGTGAATATGGGGTTCTTTGTGATTTGTGTAAGCTAAACTGTTTTTCTTTAGTGTTTGGAGTAAACAGTTGCTAATATATTTGTGAGAATGTCTGTTGTATAAACCTGTCTACAATGGATATCTGTACAATTAGGAAATACAAAGACCGTGAAGAATTGGCAGCTATACAATGTGGTATAAATGGGGTTAGCATTAGAGATGTAACTGTATTGTTCTTGTTGATACAGGTGAAATTCTGGTCTCAGCACATTTCCTTTATTCTTGTTGGAATAATTATTGTTACCTCTATCAGAGGATTGTTAATCACACTTACAAAGGTAAGACTCTTATGTGGTTTTGGACCAGGAGAGCTGTTGTCAAATCTTTAACTTTAGATGGGACAAATACTGTATACACTTTCAATACACATTTATGTTTTAAGTGTCTGAATATAAATACTTGCAGAGGGAGGAAGGGAGGAAAAATGCCTTCTGCAGTGTATTTCCCCACTCTGTTGTTACTGCTGTCAGGGAGAGATGTAAATGTTAAATGTGAGCAAGGGTTCAAAATGGTGCTGTAGCCAGGGCTTATTAGTAAGCTTCATGAGACTATGATTAAAATAATTTAAATTGCTTAATTTGAGCTGCTAGTAGAACTGGAAAGGCATTAACATGAGACATGTGACTCTTTGTCTTGACCTGGCTTTTGATACCTAAGCTTGAACTTCAATGTATATTGTTGTATGGCTTTTACCATGTGGTGCTCCTGGCTTAGGGAGATTCATGTTTGAGGCTAAGACTGTAGGTTTCTGAAAGTAGGGTACAGTCACCTCTCCAGAAACTGCTTTTAACTGTTGGTTTTTTTTTTTTTATATATTAGAAAGTATTGAATGGTGTGTACCTTTCATGCTGTCCTAAGGCACATCAGACTTATTTGAAGGCTTATTTCCAGTGCTCTTTTTTTTTTTCCTCTTAGTTCTTCTATGCCATTTCCAGCAGCAAGTCCTCCAATGTTATTGTTCTGCTTTTAGCACAGATAATGGTGAGTATGTAGAACCATGGGCACGCCTATATGCATTTATGCATGCATATGTATTTGTGTGTGTGTGTACATATACACATCATAAAATCTTTATATGCTGACCCATCTTAGCCACATAGCCAATTGTGAAACAATTGCTACTTTCTCTCCTTTAATTTACAGGGTATGTACTTTGTGTCATCAGTGCTCCTGATCCGGATGAGTATGCCTTTAGAGTATCGCACTATTATTACAGAAGTCCTGGGAGAGCTCCAGTTCAACTTTTATCATCGTTGGTTTGATGTGATATTCCTAGTTAGTGCGCTGTCCAGTATCCTCTTTCTCTATTTGGCACACAAACAAGCCCCAGAAAAGCATATGGCCCTCTAAGTAAGGACTGCAGTCATGTGCTGCTCTCTGTCCTTTCTACTGGACTGCTGCAACTCCTGTGGACTGCAAAACTTGAAGAGAACTGGGATGTTCTGTGTGTTCCAGCAGTGTAACTGGCTCTTTGAACTTCCACACATGTCTTCATCAAGCTCTGTGGCTCATTTCATTATGGTGCTGTAGCTTGAAGTAAAGGCGAAGCACGTATTTAATGTGAGATAGTTCATTGGCGAGGAATAAGGGCATTCCTTGGTACACCAGTATCTAGAGGGATTGGAACTTGCATAGGAGGCTATCTTGGGTAAGACCTCTTAATTTTAGAAGAACCAAGGCACCAAGGAAATGTGATTTCTCTTTGGAAGATCACCTGATAATTGGGATTCAGAGAACAGCAATTCTGGAGTTGAATGTTTGAGGCTGTGGAATTAAATAAGCTTTTGTAATACCTCATGCAAGTATCACAGTTGTTTTTTGTCAGCTCTAAAGATTTGGCTGGAAGCGAGCTGGAAAGCGGCTAAGATTTGCTCCCTGGCAGAAGCAAAATTGAGAGAATTTCACTCCATTTGTGTATGGAGTGTACACTAGTGTGTATTACTAATACCTGCCGTCCCGAATCTCAACTTTGTTTTCTGTCCCTGTGTAAATGGAACTGAGGTTTTGGATTCCTGTTTGCAAGAGTTCAGTGTGAAGTCAAAGGCCACCGCTATGCCTTGTTTACCTTATATGTTAGAAATTTGTTTACCTTCTGTGCTGTAAATTTGGTGTTCTGCACAACCTGTGTATTCTACAGTAGCCCATTTCCCCTTCTTGATGTAATTCAAGACATAAAAGTAAATTTTATTCATGTGACTTAAACTTGTAGCTTCCCATAGCTGCTCTCCCAGGCTTTTGTTTGGTTTAAAATTGTTCTGGAACATAAATCACAGGTGATAAGAGTAAGACCTGGGGGGAAAAAAAATAGCCACTCTAATTAATTTATTCTGTGGTGTCTTTGGTTGGTTTACAGCAAGGAGGCAGAGTTTACAGCAGCAGTATTATAGAACCATTTATGTCACGTTCAAGAAAATACAGTGTTGACTTGGAGTTAGACAAACCTGCATGACTGGATTCCGTATGCTATTCTAACTAACGTGATCCACAACTGTATGCAGAGGAGAGGAAATAGTGTTTAAACATCTTGAGCTATGAATCATGAAGTTAGCTTGATGTTTGAAAGAAATTTCTGCAATGTTAGTCGGAGAAGGAGTGTAACGCACAGAGTATGCTGACATGCCGTTTCACAGCAGTTGTACTCCTGAGAGCATGGCATAGAAGAGTCGCCACAGAGATTGAGCTGATGGACTTGGTTCAGCTGCCTCTCCTGGGAAATGGGGAGAAATCAGTTGCTCTTTATTAAGAGCTTATCCTTAAAAGGCTAATACGCTTATGAATTCATAAAGCGTTTCTGCCTTCTGCTGCAGTATGCTTAATTAATACTTCTAGTTCCTTAAGCCTTTACAGAAGTAAGTGACTGCCCGCTTTGCAGGGCAGAAAGCCAGTGAAGTACAATTGCAGTGTGTTAAATGAATGCAAGTTACACTGAAGCGTTTATTTCGGGCAGCTTCAGTTCAGCAAGAGATTGTAGTCCTTTACACGTATGGCATTCCTAGGAATAGTCTAGTTCTGGGAAGTGTAGTAGCAAAGAATGATCGAAGAAAGGGGATTCGGAAGGTTTCTTTTTTGTTCTTGGCATAGTTTGTCTCCTCACAGCTTTGTGTCATCATCGTTGTCGCTGTCTGCTCTTGTAGAGGCAGCTGAGTGTGAAGAGGAGGATGAGCTTGCCTGCAGAGGATGAACAAATATGTTCTGAATATTTTTAGTTTGTAAACATGCTTGTTAGTCTGCAGTGCTACGAAGGACTCCTATTTTTATCTGCACTAATCATGTACGTGTTTGGATGGCAAAATGAGCCAACAAACGTGATTTTTTTTTTTTTTTGTGGTTGAAGTGCTTTTTGGTTAAGTACATTTAGAGAGAAATCTGTCCAGTAGAGGTTTCCTATTGTTTAATTCCCATACCTGCTGAATTTGCATACAAAAGTGGTGCTAACTTCAGATCTGCAAAATGCAACTTGGTGAATAAGAAACTTTTGAAAAAACTTTGCAGCTGGACATTTGCAGACAAGGCTAATGAAAAATGAATAGGAGACAGTGTTGATCTTATTCTTCCTTGTCTGTCTCTTTTTCATGATCAGCAAAGCAGCGTTTAAGTACTTAAGGCTGACCACACAGAGGGTTCAAAATGACACTTTCAATCAGATACAACCTTCCTGCTTTTCTGGCTTCTGTCATGCTTCAGATTCTACTGGCACGAAATGAGTAAAATAATTTCAAATAAAATGTCATCATAACCTATCAGCTGCTCTTCCTTTTACGAAATGATTTGTTTTGAAATATTTCACCTGAGTGAAACCTGAAAAGCAGTTTGTGCTTTTTGGTGTATGTAAGCACTTTTTTCCCCCTGCACTTTCAGGATTATATTGCTTATTTGTCATCTTCATTGAGAATTACTGTATTTGGATTATCTTATTCATAAAACCTCTTGTATGTGCACCCTTTCTGTGATTTAACCTTGCATTAAAGATACTCACTTGTATTATATGTTGGGAAGGGAAAACTTGTTCGTGATAATCAGACCACAGCTTCCCTTTTAATGACATAGACTGACTTGTAAAAACCCAGGCTGAAGTTAAAAATCCTAGCTCAGGAATACATACTTGCTGAAAAAAAAATTCCTGTCCTCTAGAGGATCGCTCAACATCTACTTAATTCAGCATGATTACTCACCCTTTCCCTTGGTTCAGGTGAGTTTCTTTCTGGCTCTGACAGATGGTTTTCTGTATAAGCAGTGGGTTCAGAGGTGTCATGGTCTGGATCTGCCATAGAGGCTGTGATGGGAATGTTCTGGCCCTGGAAGTATTGGTAAGCATCTTTGCTGCACACCAGTAGTGTTAGTCTGTCACCAGTATCTTGGATTCTTGCCACCACTTTGTCATAGGATTCATTCATCACATTCACCCCGTTCACCTCCACCAAAAAGTCGTTATTTTCTACACCTGCTGTGTCAGCTGGCCCATGGTTTTGTACCTGCAAAGGTAAGTCCAAACTGTGATATTAGCATGAAACTTGGAAAGATGCATTAACAACTGATGGTTAGCTAGACTCTTGTCTTACTGCTTTCCTTACAAGACAGCAAAATAAGCATGAAGAAGGGGAGATTTCTGGGGCAGAAATTGAGAGAGGCAGTAGGCCTAGGCATAATAAACATGGAACCTATCAGTTTGAGATTTAAAGTGCATCTTGATTTGGATAAGACTTTAAGCTGCGTTCAGCTCTGTGGCCCCCAATGTAAGAAGGACATGGACCTGTTGGAGCAGGTCCAGAGGAGGGTCATGAAGATGATCCGAGGGCTGGAGCACCTCTCCTAAGAAGACGAGCTGAGAGAGTTGGGGTTGTTCAGCCTAGAGAAGAGAAGGCTCCAGGGAGACCACCTAGCAGCCTTCCAGTACCTAAAAGGGGCCCCTACAAGAAAGCTGGAGAGGGACTTTTTGCAAGGGCATGTAGTGACAGGACAAGGGGTAATGAATTTAAACTGAAAGAGGGCAGATTTAGATTAAAGAAGAAATTCTTCACTCCGAGGGTGTTGAGGCACTGGAACAGGTTGCCCAGAGAAGTTGTGGATACCCCATTTCTGGAAGTGTTCAAGGCCAGGTTGGATGAGGCTTTGAGGACCCTGATCTAGGGGAAGGTGTCCCTGGCCATGGCAG